GATCAGCAGATGAACTTTGTTCAGACTCAAGTTTCTTCCAGTGGTGTGAATCTGTTTTGAAGAAACACTGCTTCATTTCTCTGGCTGTTATCAGGTGTTTTGATTACAGCCTGTTGCTGCTTACTTCTCCTTGCAGGTGGAGAGAAAACATTTCTCTGTAACTCTGGCCATTCGATGTCATCTAAGAGCTGAATCCTTCCTGAGAGATTTTTTGGTCTGGCACCAACAGAGTTCCATACAGTTTTACACTCAGAAGCAGCTTCCATTTCCTTGTCCAGTGGATCTCTCTCATCTCAGCCTTCTCACCCATTTTGAGACATGTTGAGGAACGGGCCCACTGAGGAACACATCCATGTTGAGATTTTTAATGGCATTCAGTAGCTGAATAAAATCCTTCTTCAGGATTTCTGACTGTCGGTTCAGCATTCATCTAGCATTCATCTCTTCCAAATGATGAATCTTGAGCTCCAACACTGTCACCTTTTGGAGAAGCTGGCAGAAATCCTCTTTGGAAAAGTAAGGAGGCATCATGAAGCTTTTACTCACTCTCAGCAGATGATGTTTCAAAAAATCTTCTCAGGTTCTTCAACAGCCAAAAATAAAATCCAGTGTTGTTKTTTTTTATTCAAGATCATCCATCACAATCGTCACCAGTGTATCTCTGTTGTTAAAACAATTTACCATAAAAAAGGTTCTTTTCATCCAGCTGGAGTCACGGTCCTGAGCAGTCCAGTCCTTGCTCACTCATATCAGTCCACCTGCAATGTGGCCTTGGTCCGTAGATCTCCCAGTGGATCCTGTCGACAACGCCAAAATTCTGTTGTTGCCAAAAGCAGAAACACGTTGGAATAATGCCAGAAAAGTCTGCGTGTATGATAATCAAATATGATTTAATTATGAGTCACAATCATGCAGAACCTTCCTGATTCAGTTCTGTTTGTTTGTCGCTCATAATTAAATCATATTTGATTATCATACATGCAGACTTTTCTGGCATTATTCCAACGTGTTTCTGCTTTTTGCGACGACAGTGGGAAATATAGAAGTATCTTCTGCTCAATGTTTGTTGGCAAAATATCTCATAAACCTCTGGACCAATTTCATTAAATTAGTGTGGTTTAATAAACAATTAGGACTGGGTGGGATACAGGAGAACCCGGAGAAAACCCATGTGACAAGGGATGTATAAAACCACCCGCCAAAGATCTTAACAGATAAAATCCATAAAGATTTAAATGAGAAAAGYGTTTTAGTCAAATTAATATCAATTTTTATTGAAGAAGTAAGTAAAGGTTCCTGGCCCAAGTAATATCAGTAATGAAAACAGGCTCCTAGTTTGATGGCCTCAAATTTTGGGGGGATAATGGGGAAACCAGATTGCCTGAGGAAAAAACCCTACACTCACGGTGTGTTCATGTAAATTTGATGCACAGAGGATAAATATTTAAATATATATATATATTTTAAGTTTTGGTTTAGCATTGATGCAGCAATTTCTGTGAAATGGAAGCTGGAACACATACTGGTGGTCCTCAACTTGCATAGGTCCCATCAGGGGCGTTTTGAGGCTCTTGAAACTTCAGGGGCCCTAGCCCAGACCTCTTCTTCCTCTTCCCTCTTTTAAAAGTGCTCTTTCACATCTGTATTTATCCATTATTAAAACTATTGTTATATTTTGTTTGATCATTATATTAGTTATATTGGATAAAATTGATTTATATATAGAATGTGTAGAATATAACATCATGTGCTGTTACAACTAATTTCTGTCAGCAGTAAGGAACAGTTATAAAAACTACATGTTGCTGATATGAAACCAGTTTTATTTGTGTGAAACCAGTTTTGTCTTTGCAAACTTTTGTTAGTTTTTTTTTAGCTAACATTTTGTTACTTTTAAATATAGTTAGCCTTTTGATGTGTTAACAGCTAGCATTAGTGTTTAGCTAACTTTTGGCTAACAAAAGTTTGGTGGATGCTGTTAAGTGTCAGGAGAACTGTGACCAGTTATACATCGGCGAAACAAAACAGCCACTGTTCAAAAGAATGAGCCAGCACAGACGAGCTACATCGTCGGGTCAGGACTCTGTAGTTTACACTCACCTACAGGCCAGCGGTCACTCTTTCAGGGATGAAGATGTTCTCATCCTTGATAGAGAGGAACGTGAGAGAGGAGTAAAGGAAGCCATCTTTGTGAAGAAAAACCGTCCACCATTAAACAGAGGTGGAGATCTTCGTGTCCAGTTGTCCTCCTCCTACAATGCTGTTATTGCAAGTATGACTCAGCCCCCTGTGAGCAAAAGGTGTGAATCGGCCCCAACAATATCCAACACAAATAGGGAAAGAGAGACAAAAACAAGGGGACGTTGAACCCTGCTTGCACTCACTACATACACATAACAAAACACCAAATAACCACAGCCGAAGCATCCAAACCAGTAAGTCAGGTGATGGGGCACATGACCCTCTATGAAAAATAGAGCTAATCAAGCCTATTGTTAGGCGATGGCCCTCTTTTGCATGTGACTAACCTGTTTGTCCACCATATGCTTATTAGGCTGAGTTCACCTGAAACTCATCAGACTGAAGAAGTCTCTTGGAGGAGAGATGAAACGTTTCACTAAAGAAGAACCCATCCAGAGGACCTACTTATTTTTCTTTTTGATTTTTTTTTTACCTGGATTACTGAGATACTGTACATCAGGACAGACAAAAGTTTACTAAAGGCAGCAAAAGCCAGTTAAAGCCTCCTAGCCTGGTTTAAACCAGACCCTGTCCTTCACTTTACTTCGTACAAGGAGCAGTGAAGGGAAACTAGAACTGAGCGGAGCTGCGTAGGAAGGCAAAGGCCAGGCTAGTTAAGGCCAGCATCTGCTGTCAGGAGTGTAACAGTCTTTTGTCATTTCCAACTCGATTATGCTATTTAGGGTAATACAGATCAATGTAGGCGTCTCTGCAGACGAATAGGCGTTTCCAAAGGCAGGCGGTTCTCAAGAGACACACCTGATTGGACAAACGTCTTTCAAGGGACACACCAGATTGGACGAGCACACAGGCGATGACGTAACCGAGCGACTTGCTTGTTGCAACAGCGAGCATGCGCAGAACGTCTTAGTTTTTTTTTTTTTGTCAGTTGCGAGGTGGTGCAGGCAAACCTGTTTTTACCGTGCGCTACATTTAGTGGGCGACTGAGTTTACAATATAACAATTTAACACATACGTTCGAATACGTCTTTTGTGAATTTAAAATGAGCGACAACGAAAAAGACTTCAGGGAGCAGGTGAGTTATAAAAAGGAAACGGCGTTAGGACGACGGTAAGCTTCGCTAGCACAGCTAGCTATTATGTTAGCATCTTCAGCAGCTGACATTTGGAAAGGACGTGCACGAAAGAAATGTTTAATATTTTAGATTCTTATCTTTACGAGACTGAATGGTATTTTGTGTGAGTGTTTGTAAGCGATACTTTACACAGTATTGAGAGAAATTAAATGACGAAGTATGCAACGGTATCAGAAACGCATGCTAAGCTAAATCACGCGGCCTCGGCCCGCTTCAGCCGGGAAGTGAGCGAGTTGCCGCTAAAGGATTACTTTGTCTTTACTACTTTCGTTTTAATTAGCTTCATGTATTCAATCAAGCTAGGACAGGGGTCTGCCACCTACATAGAAAACAATTATATATATAT